TCTACAAGCGTTCTCTGAGGTTACAGTAAGGGTTGTAGAAGCGGGTTTGTAAGGTTGCTATAAGGGTTCTACCATCAGTTGTCAGGGTTATACTCGTGGAGCTGTTTGATGCCAGGGTTAAGGGCTCAGAGGGCTTAAGGGGCCGACAGGGTCCTATATTCGCGATAATAGGTTCTTCTACGGGTCTTTGCAGCTTTGGGCTTAGGATTCAATATAGGGGCCTTAATAGTTACCTACACTATTTTGGGGGTCCTTATTATTAGTAATATTATTACTCTTGTATTATATACCCCAAAGCCCTATTCTAACTATTAAGGCCCCTAATCCCTGAATTTCCTGCCAGTGCCAATGTTACTCGTATGGATTACTTATTTACTTGGGCCAGTCGCCAGAGCAGTCCTGAGCAAAACGTACCTCATGAACAATTAATACCCCTCCATCAACCAGAGATTGCCACGGCTTCGTGATTCGTATTTCTGTCAAGAGTCTCGGGCGGGTTCCCGCTGGCATCACGTTCATGTCTGTCGTGGAGTCTGTCCTCACGAGCATCCCCGACTCCACCAATTCCAGCACTTTGACTGTCAAGTCCATGGGGGGTATAATATAGGGGCCTTAATAATTAGAATAGGGTTTTGGGATTTATTATAAGATAACTATAATACGGAACCCCAAAACCCTATTAGGCCTCTACATTAGGGTGTTAGGGTGTTAGGGTTTGGGGTTTTAAGCTTTAGGATTTTTTGGGTTTTAGGGTTTAGGGCTTAGGGTTTGAAGGTTTAGGATTTAGGAATTTTAGGGTTTAGGGCTTAGGGTTGCTCGTCCGTCAGGAACGTGAAGACCCGGTCGGTCACTTGGGGCGCTTTGTCTTTAATGGTTTTTCGTTTCTTTCTAGGTCCTCTAAGCTTAACGTTTCAGGGTTTACGGTTTAGGGTTCGGGGTCCAGGGTTTAGGGGTTTGGGTTTAGGGGTTTGGGGTTTAACATCGACCGGCTGGATGAGGCGACTTGGAAGCTCGCTTGCTTTACCGATATTGCTTTTTAGGGTTCCTGGTATGAGTATACCAAAAAGTACCCCCTCACCCTCTTCAAATCAATCAGGCCCCTTTTTTAAAGTATGTTGGGTTTAGAGTTTAGGGTTTAGGGCCTGGGAGAAGGTGGTAAACGGGTGCAGAGTTCTTGTATTAAGTTTATCAACTTCAGACAGGGTGCTAAGCCCTAAACCCTAATCCCTGAAACCCGCCCTAAACCCTAAACCCTAAACCCTAAACCCCAAAACCCGAAACCCTAATCCCTGAAACCCGAAACCCTAGAGTCTCCAGCCCAACTCTACGCACCTGGGCCCAAAGCCCACCCCATGCACCAAAACTTCCGAAGCCCCGAAGGGTTTAGGGTTTAGGGTTTAGGGTTTAACCATTGCTCCTCAAACCGAACATAAACCCTAGACCCAAACCCTGAACTGCACCCGTACATTCGGAAGGTATTGCAGCAGCAAAGCAGCTTCGAAGGCGGACGGACTTGACGGTGTAGGGTTCAAACCTTGGGTTTTAGGAATTAGCTTCCCTCGTCCTTCGTTCGTTCCTTTTCTGATTGACGAATTCACCCTTTGGGCGGGTGCCCATCATGACTCCGGTAGCTGCTGTTGTATGAGTTTTTTGGGTTGTACCAAGTAGCGACATGTTTATCAGCGTGACTCGTCGCCGCATCTGTGTTAGCTGTTTCTCTGTTTTTCAACATTACAATCCGTTCTTGTTTCTAGTATCACCTATACTGTATGTCAGTTCTTCTTATCATTAGTATCGAAAGTGGGTTGTTGGATGCATATTACCCGTGTTGGACACACATTTTATGTTAATGTAAAGCTTCATATACGGGAGTTTCCAAAAATTAGGGTACCTTATTTGGGGGTCCTTATAATAAGGGTCCTACTATTTAGGGTACTATATTAGGCTCCCCTATGTTCGGAAACTCCCATATAATATACAGAGGTTTGTATGCTCCAAAGCTCGGGTCCGATTCATCAGAGCAGCCCTCACCATCTTCTGTTTGGTGCTTAGTAGGGAATGGGGGAATGGAGCCCTATGATGGTCCCTTTGAGGTCCCTTATTGTAGTCCCTATAACCCATTCCCCATTCCCTACTAAGCACCAGACAGTCTTATGTCAATATTTCTTTGAGCCTTTTTCTGGCTTAGGGAGCCAGGGGTTCAGGCATTTGAGGCCACCCATGAACCCTTAACCCTAAACCCTAAACCCTAAACCCTAAACCCTAACCCTTTAAAGAACCTACACCCTAATGAACCCTGCTTGCAAGGTTCAATCACCGCCCTTGGCTAAAAGCGGAGAAACCGGATCCGAGGCTCACATTCTTTTAGCGCCGCAGGCACCACAACACGGAAAGAACGGAAGATCCAGCCTTTGTGAACGTACTTCTTGATCATAGCCATAAGGCTGAGATCATCTCTACGAGTGAGAAGAAATTTCAAGACCTGGGACCCCGGGCGCCTTGTGAGATGCTTCTCTGAGCCTAGAAAGGCTCGCAGGAAGGTTCAAGTCAGAGGATGACGCCTGAGCAGAATGCATACCCAAAACCCTAAACCACAACAACTAAACCCTAAATGCTGAGTTCTTGGTTATGAAGTGCCGTTTTACGAATCGTTCTGTTTAGGCTCCATCTTGGAACCCTTTGTTGCTTCAAGCTGCCTTAGGTTGCGGGGGTGCAGGGACTTCAGGCGCTTCAGGGTTTTTAGAATGCGTTTCAATGTCCGCTAAACCCTAAACCCTAGGCACTTTGCTCGGCAAGCCGTTTGGGGCCAGAAGGTTTCGAAAGCGCAAAGCCCTAAGGCCCCGATCTTCAAACGGCCCCAATTCCTACTACAGGGGCCTATTTTGGGTGTTTTTATTTTTAATTTTAGTAGTATAATATAGGAAACCCCAAAACCCTATTATATTTATACATTAGGGCCCCTATATTACACCTTTAATTAACCGTTAATCCTGACAAATATGCCCAAACACGTGGATCAGGGTCCTTCATTTAGGGGCCTTGACAGTCAGAATGGGGTCTTGGGGTAGAGGATATCTTATTTTGCAGAGACTACAAGAGTACGTTTCCTTGAAACCATTTAGGCCCCTTAAACCCTAAACCTCTTAAAGTAGGTCTCCAAATTCCACTAGCGCTGCTTTGAGGGTAACCCTGCTTGGAGGTTCATGGGTAGTTATAAGTGGGGTTACAAGTCCCCTAATATGGGTTATAAGTATAGTTACCTTGCTTATAACCTTATTTATAACTACCCATGAACCTCCAAGTGGACCTGCCTTGAGAGTTTGTAGAAGTTTTGTTGGTGTGGAAGGATTGTCCGTGACAGAGCCGCCGGCGACCTACTTGCCAAGTCTTGCTGCCTTTGTTTGTGATGTGCGACGCATCAAGTGCTTGAGGGTAGGTTTTCTTGTTTTTTTTACCGTTAGTGCCTTCGGGATTTAATTAGGATTCATTCGGGATTTAGGATTTAGGGCTGGAAAAGGGGTTCGTCTTAGTGTCTTGCAGAAGCCCTGCATGTAGAGACAGGGATGTTCCTTCCCACAGATTTAGATTCTGAAGCCTTGTGTTCATGCTTTTTTGAGTTTGAGTATCTCATGTTCATCTTTTGTTGCGGATTCCAAGCCACCTTGCTGCCATGAGCCGTAGATCCCTGAGCGAGCCTGAAACGTATAACCCGAAGCCTTGGGCCCTGAACCCCTAACCGCTATTTGAAGGGAATCCCTACGCCCTAGACCAAGCGGGACCCTGGCAAGGCAACTGGGGGGGGGGTGCAACTGAGGACCAGATACCTCAAATCCTGAAATTCCCGAGCCTTCAGTCCCTACACAATTGCCTAGTGACGCCCTGAACCCACCTGCGAGCATTCTGGAGTTTGTTTTAGGGCTTTGGGGTTGAGGTTTGGGGTTCTCGCTCGAGGTTCAGGGATTGGGTTCAGTAGTCTTCGCAGTCCAAGGGTCCACGTCCAAGGCTTTTGGTTAATGTTCTATGTTGTTCTAAGGCTCTTGGGTTTAAAGCACTTGGCAAGTTTGCTGTTCCTTAAAATCCGTAAACTCTTAAAACAAGTAGACTCCCCAAATTGTCCCCAAACAGTTCCTTTTTCAACATTTTCTAGCGGCCTGTGTTGCGCCCCTGGACCAAGCTTTTAGGGTTTAGGCTTTAGGGTTCAAAGGCTAAGCCCCGAACGCCTAGGCCGAAATCCACAACTGCAAGCAGTAAGCCACAAAGCCCAAAAGCCACAATCTTGCACCCTAATACGACTACGAGTAGGTGCTGGGGTTTGGAAAGATCGCTAAGTCGCGAAACCTAAACCCCTAAACCCTACACTCTAGCCGCCGACGCTCGCGAACTTGAAGCCCTAAACCCTCGAGGCCCTGAACTCAGTCAGGGATTCAGGGTTGAGGGTTTGGGGATTTAGGGTTCAGGGTTTAGGGATGTACGGCTTAGGGTTTAGGGTTTACGGAGGTGCCGGCAGACCGCCTACAGCTAGTCTACCCATTGCTACCATGTGGCAAACCTGGTTCACCATTCTGGCGAGGGAGACCCACAAGCCGTCAACGTGGGCCAGTGCTGATTCAGCGGAACCACTGCTGCGCCACGGTATGTGGTGCTTCACGGCCCCAGTTGGGACGCCTTGGGGAGAAGTCTGACGTACTACGAGGAGCAACTTCGCATGTGCGACCTGGAACCCTAAACCCTAAACCCTAAACCCTACACCCTAAACCAGCATTGAGCCAGCATGTGAACTCCAACCGCAACGGCTTCCCCAATAGCCCGGCCTCCCAACAAGGGAGGATGAACATGGCCCACTCTGGGGTTTAGGGACTCTGGGGTTTAGGGTTCAGGGTTTAGGGTTTAGGAGGCTCCCTGAAGCCTTAACTAAACCTGTGACATCAACCCTGGAAGCCTAAACCCTAAACCCGAAACCTTAAGCCATAAACCCTAAACCCTAAACCCTAAACCGTGAGGTCCAGCTACGAAGCTGGGCTGGCTGCCACCGTGCGCAGCGCCAAACAGGCCGGTCTCGGTCTCGCGGCGGACTCTTTAATTTGGGTGGTTCTCTAAATTCGGGTCCCCTTTAAGGGTCCTTTTTATAAGGGGGCCGTACTGTATTGGGGGCTTAAAAAGGGGCCCCAGTCTAGAGAACTACCCATATACAGATCTGCGTACTTGCCAATACCTTTTTAGGGTTCACTGGTATATCGGGGTCCCTTCTCACGCCAAAGAACGACCCTAACTATTTACTTATTAAGGCCCCTGTGTTGACCCTTTGGGTTTCAAGGTTCCTTAAGGCTTCGACAAGGGTTCTAGTTGGAAGGATGTTGGGTTCAGGGGCTCTGGGATTAGTCTCCGGTGCTGCGGACTTTGGGTTTGGGGTGGGTTAGGGCTTTCAAGGGTTCATTTCAACAGCGAAGAAGCCTTTATCTGCCATAGCTCTACGGCCGTGTAAAAACCCTTAGAGAAACCTCGAAGCTCTCAGCAGATAGTCATAGATAGTCCGAAACCGTCAACCTAGACCCAAAACCCTTCTCCCCAAACCCTACACCCCAAACCCTAAACCCAAAACCCAATCCTACCCCCCCCAAAACCTACACACTCAAGCCTTAAGCCTCCAGAATATAGGGGCCTTAATAATTACCTATCCTATTTTTGGGGTTCCTTATTCTAGCTATAGTACAATATACCCCAATTAAGGCCCCTACATCACTCAATTCCAAGTCCCTGACCCCCTAGCAGGACCTTACAAAAAGCAAAAATGACCGAGGGTCTACTTGTGGCCCAAGCCGTGAACCTACACCCAATTATTAAGGCCCCTAAACCCTAAACCGCAAACCGTAAGCCCATAGCTTAAACCCTAAACCCTAAACCCTAAACCCTAAACCCTAAACCAAAAGCCCTAAACCCTAAACCCTAAACCAAAAGCCCTAAACCCTAAACCCTAAACCAAAAGCCCTAAACCCCAAAACCCTAAACCCCTAAACCCTAAACCCTAAACCCCAAAAATAATATTGGCAATTGTTTAGGCCCCTATA